TGACGAGCTTTCCATGCGTTCCGAATTGCTGCTTAGATTAATAGCTCTTCTATGGTCATGAACTATCTGGTTCATTAACAGCAGTTCTTGGTGCTCTTTGCGACTTCCTCATCGTATCGGGAATATTTTCCCTTCACCGTTGGTCGAGACGTGCCTTCCATGCGCTAAGCCATTGTTCAGATTCATAACACTTGTCATAGATACAGCAGTTCCTGGTACACTTTGCCTACTTCCTCATAATGCTTTTCCGTCATGATGGTTTCATCAGCATTCAGGAAATTATAACGTATGTTTCTGTCGGCCGGCCATAAACGGTGTCAGCAATAAACTTTTGATGCAAATTTGGTTTGAGAAAGTGTAATGGTGCCTCATCGTTTTCCAATCATTGCACTTACCGTGGTCTACTACCTACATAAGACATTATTTAGAGGAAATCCTTCTAATACTCTTTTCAAAAGTAGTTTCCTTTTTAGGCTTTCAATTTTCTGTTTTCTTTCACAAAGAATCAAATACTTTACATGACCACTTCATCAATTTATCAGGTACAGTAAATTGGGTAGCCTCCAACAGGTTTACTAAATGCAATCAACGTCTCTGAGGAGTACGTGGAACTGTGGTAGTGACCTGGTTCACTATGGGGACGGCCGAACTTGCCTGCTTGGCTGGATTAACTCTCTAGGCACACTAAGCTTCTCATTATTGCAAGAATCAGAAAATAGATATCAAAATTTTTTAGCCTAGTTCATCTTTTATCACTTGGAACGCTCTAGCACGGCTTTATAACGATTCCGGATTGAATCCTCTCGATGAGCATTCAATGAAATTATTGCCTAGCACGAAAAATTCCTCAAATGGCAGCTGAAGCCACATACCAAAATTTCAAAGACCTTCGTAGGTAGTTTTTTTCGAGAAAAAAAGCAAATGCAGGAGGCTTTGGGATTCGTGCAATGTGCTACTTGAACACTAAGGCTAACTGAGGGCTCGTATATGGCCTGAGATACATGTTTTGTAAACACAGACTCAGTGTTAACAGCTCAACGTCATTGTGGTTGGATTTCACACAGCACCGTGACCACGGAACTTCCTCATATGAGGGATGTCGAGCCGGTTAGATGCGAGGCTACGTGACGCGTGCCATGTGTCGGATAGGGGTTAATCGCGGAAGAAAAGCGACCTTTGCTTCCCTGAGACGAAGGTGGATTCAGGGGATGGACTCCCTGTTTCTGCTGCGCTGATTTGGTGCATACTTTCTCTGTTTGCTAGGTGTATTCGTGAATGCGTGTTCGGGTGCGTTCTTGCTTATGCCGATTGTATTCTACGAGTCAATTCGGCCAAAAGAGTGCAATCAAGTGACTGGAAGTATACGTGAGGCGGTTAGGAGTCGCCTCCAACGAATAAGTTCCATGTCCACTCTTGGAGAGCTTGGCAAGCTTTCTGTGAGTGTACCTAGCTCCCAACGTTCAGATCCCGGCAAGCTATGCGTGGGTATCAGAAATGCTAAACACAGCAAAAAAAAAACGGGCCTTATTCCCCTAACCCCGAAAGACCCCAATTTCACAGCATTATAACGAGTACGAAGAGGCTGCTAAAATCTCAGGGCCAATGGAAGCTGCCTGGATAACAAAGAACTATGGCGACGATCTGTGCCTACAATGCACGTACACTTGCATCCTAGTCCTCGATAGGACACTTGCTCATGCAAGCGAGAAGGATAGGGTACGACGCCATCGGCCTGGGCGAGACGGGAAGACAGCAGACTTTCAACGCCGTCTATGACACCGGAGAAGAACTGTTCCGCGGTATATGCGACAGTAGAGGAGTCGGCGGCGTCGGCGTTCTCGTCAACACCAGTTTGTCCATGAGCATCGATTCATTCGAACAATTTGCAACCGGAATCGGACGTTTACGATTAAAAAGACGCGGATCAATTCCGGCTTTGACAATCTTCGTCGTTTACGCGCCGATATCAAACTATGACGGAGAAAAAGTTGAAGCGTTCTATATGGACTTGGAGAAGTTCTACAGAGAGGACCACACATTTTTCAAGGTCATCATTGGAGATTTCAACGGCAAGGTTGGACCAAGAAGAACGTCTGGAAAACGTCACATTAGGACCAACGGATTAGAATGGAACAAGCAGGGTGAGTGGCTATCTGAGTTTATCATGACGACCAAGACAATCCATGGTAACTCGCAAGTCCAGAAGCCCCACCCTCAGCGCTGAACATGGCAGTTTGTCGCGCAATGGAGAGTACCATGACGAAATAGACCACATCATGGTAAATAGAAGGTTCGCCTAGTCGATGTCACTGTCGTCTCAAAATTCTACAAGTTATCAGACTATAGTGTCTTTCCTGAAAAATTCTATTTCTCGCGGAAAGGAGAAAAAGCCGCTAAATGCGAGAACCGAAGTCTCAGAACCACTACAAACTGGGACTTCTTCAATTCGTTAGTCGGCTATTGGGAAGATACCGTTGTCGATAACATCGGCGAAGAATATGATCGGCGCATTCAACATCTTCACCTTAGCGCTATGAAAAATCGGAGCAGGAATGTATCCAAGAGAAGCCTACCTCCGGGAATACTCAAACAGGTGCGTTAACTGGAATCGTTCAAGCTACGGGCCGACGCGAACTCTCCTCCGAACTTACAACGCAATCGAGATAGGCGATAAAAAAAGATCTTAAAAACAGAAAAGCGGCAGTAACGGCTCGATCTTCAGAGAGTGGGAAAAGCGTTCCTAAAACCTACCAAAAATTCGCCAGTTACCTATGAAAGATGATCACACTCCAACGCCCAACAAGAACACTTACAACTTTCAGAATGGCAACGGAGAAAGTAATTCACGATTAGAACTCGGATTATTTCAGTAGCCTAGTCCTCTTGTTTTCTTGTGTTGAACAGATAACGAAATAGTAGTCGATGCAAGTAATAGGGGCGACCGAGAACGTGGGCTTCTACGTTAGACACAGCAGAATGGCACGGCTTCGTACCATTCGCTGTTCCATTGCCAACCCTCTAATTTTTGAGTAATATTTCTCAGACCATGTGAAGATTGAGTAGTTCAAGCACTACTTTAAGAGGGGCTGCTGAATCGAGAAGTCATACATATTCATTCCTACTTCGTGTTGCATCAGGAGCTCTCCGATGTCTTGAATTACAGAGCCACTTAACACGTTTGTGCAAGAAACGGCATCGTCCAAAAACTCCATCGCGAACGTGCTATTAGGATACGTATACGGTCCAGAAATATTTGCGGATTCGTGAAGTGGGCTGGTATGTTCTCCACAACTAAATGAGAGCTAAATCTATGAGCCAAGCCATCCTATCCGTGGGATCGTCAACAAGAATAATGATGATTCTTAAGGTCAGATCAATGTACACCAACACTTGAATTTTGATGATTAAGTAAAGATGGTTTTGAAATAACCGATGGATTTAAATTTGCCACCCTTTACACTTTTACCCATTCTATTCTCTGTTTTCGGTGTTGACTTTTGAATTCGTTTTCAGACGATGAGCAAAAGAGTGGAGTACTGTGGAGTTGTTCTTCCATTATCTCAATATCTAAGTGACTATGAATTGCCACAAACTCTCCACTTTTACCAATAGGTGATAGCGTAGCAGTTTCCGATCTTCTTATTTATCGAACCTCTTGCAGACCACTTTTTGCGCTGCAATGAAGTTGGAACTAAATTTTCTCTCGCGATAGGGGTCAATAATTTTAAGAGTTTCGTCCGGAAATGTGTGAAGATTGAACTCTACTTCGCCGTTGGCATCTATCAATGTAAAAAACGCTGAAAGAAAATAAAGTGCTGATAATTTCACTAGTTCCTATTTTTCTTTTTTATATAATAACACCTATAACCTAGCATTGTTGTGGAACCGACAGTGAAGCTCCAAAAGATTCAAAACATCTATGCGACACCAAAAATACAAAAGTAAACTGAAAGCAGGGCACCTTTTGATCGCGGCTGAAATCCTGACTTACTTCAGGATAATTCTTCCTGTTGTGAGCCGGGTACCTTCCAGACACAATCCTGCTCTCTGCGGTTGTTCTCCAGTAATTACTCGAGCACTTACAAAGAATAAAGCGGTGAGTGAAAATAAAATATTGCAATAAACAAATCATATTCCAAGCACAATAGGAGTAAAAAAACTTGCCTTGCCAAGAGAAAAGCAAAACAAGGGCGCCGATGGTGTAGTGGGTAACATGTATCCTCGGAAAAGAGAAATGTGGGCTCGAAGCGCACGTGAGTTGGCGAGCTTGTGTCACATCTCAACAACATTAGTGTTGTATGTCATACAATACCGTGCCACGAAAAATTTAATAGGTTGCAAGTAAAAGGTATTCACTGAAAATAGTAAGTGTTTAGAAGATGCAGTTTGCTACGCGAAGAAAGTTTGTATGCTATCACATACTTGAACTTGGTACTTGAACGGCCCGTCATCACTAGTTGTGCGAACTCTAGCATAATCACCATTTTTCAAAGATTTTCTGGTTTAGCCATTGTGGTTTCCTGGAATCCCGATGACAGCCTGGCCAAAGTCTGCCCCAGGTCTTTACCACAACGTGCAGTCGCAGCCTTTGTGGATCAGAGGAAGATCTACTACTATGTGACTTTGATACCAGGACGGCGGTGGATCCTGGTATTGGTTTATTCTTAGCTAGGTTTTCTGATGAAAACACTGAACTCTTCCTCAGGCCCTGTTGGAGGACGAATTTCTCCGCTGTACATCGTGGTCCAACTCCCAGGAACATCTCCCAGCCACGATGAGGAGGTAAACTTTTGGGAGTGCTATCACATAACGAACAGCCAAGCAAATATTTTGAAACTAGCTGTCATTCAACCTCGCTAATAAAATAATCAGCATGTGCTTATATTGTTGAGCTTACAAGAGGTTAATAGAGATGTTTTAATAACATTTCTATTTCTTTTTCAGCAATTGCGAGGTTGTTGTACAGTACACACTTCCGTACAAAAAGGACATACAACACAATGATAGCTGACGTTTCGGTAGAATCGAGGCCTCCGAAGCTGCTTCTTACTTGCTTTCACGGAGAAAGAACAGCCGCCTACAGTCGCATATGGTTGATAAAAGAGCACTACAGAGTAAATATTCCTCACTCGAGATGCTCCATTGAAGAGGATCCGGCTCGATGCAAAGACGAAAAAGCCACATTGAAGAGGGGAACAACTGTGGATCTTCGACTCGAACCGTCGACTCTGATGAAAACGAAGACGTCGAAACGTAAGCCGAAGAAGCATCTCTGTCAAGCTCGTGTAAACTCAGAAATATGAACACATGTCGAAAATTTGTGCACAAAGTTTATCCGGCAATCTTAAAATTATAAATAAATCTCTCGGTGTTGATAAATACCTGAGGGATGCGCCACGCATTCGACTTTATCAAGTATTGTTAAAGGTTACTGAATTCGTATCTAATCTATACAACGACCTACAGTAGCTTGCAAATGTACCGAGACAGTTCTGCTTTCCTTGCGGACAGGCCTCGTAGGAGTTTGCCTACCCCTGACGGATGGAGGACTTTGTGAGTTTGTTGGGCGGCGTAGAACCGAAGAACACATGTGTCTCGTATGGTACATCTAACCACCACGCTACACGTGTCTCTGCTGAAGTTTTGGAAACTGAATAATTTGCATGTCAAAATTGATTTTCAATGCTCGGAAGGAGGCGAAACTGTTAAAATCCTGAGCGAAGAAATGCTATAATAATAGTTTCCTGTTTGCTCGTCTAGAAAGCAATGAATTCTACAAATGATAGTCCATGGGATTTCGTCGTTAAAAGAACAATTTGGATTCGATCACTGGCTTCACAATCACTTTAATAAGTACACCCAAATAAAGCTGCTTGTCGTCGCAGACGATCCCATCTGTCCATATTGAGAGTTGAGCTGTATCCTACTGTGGCTTATTCCCTTTCCTCCCACGACGTCGAACGTTTTCGGACAGAGTTCCGATGAGCTGCTGAATAATTTCCTCAGAGGATGCGAACACCGACTTATTTAAGAAGTTCGTCGTCGCAGCCACTAGAATAGAACTTTAAATTGACTGCACGGTATTCTGTAACATCGTGTGTAAGCTACTAAGCAAAGATGCTGTCCTCTGGAAAAGTGATTTACGAACGCTTTCGTATTTATCTGATAATTTAGTTACCAGCTATCGATTTATTAATTAAACTTAAAATTAGTCCATCTGAGAAAATTTTAATAAAATTGACAAACATTGCTGCTAATTCCGTTAACAAGTCTATTGAATAGGGAGTTTTTGATTCCTTGTAAGAATTTCCATATGAGACGTACTTCGGTCATGCCATGAAGAAGGATAGGAAAATAACAAAATATACTAGTTATAGCATACCACCCGCTTATGTTCACGATTAATAAATTTATTATGTTAAATTACAGTATCAAAGGACATCATGCTTTCAATAAGGAATAAATAAAGAGTGAAGGAGGTTCAAGATCTGACGAGGATGTTATCACAGTGAATAAGAGGAATGTGCTCATTGAGAATGCACAAGCCCTTCGTTGAGAAAGAAACTCATCAGGTTGTTAAAAAATTGCAGCTTTTAATAGAAAACAGCCGGAAGGATTCTACTCAAAAGATGAAAAGCACAGGAGGTTTTGTAAAGCCGCGCATACATACACAGCAGCTGATATTTGACTAGAAATTATACTGACAATTATCTGCTACTTCATTTCAATCGCTAAGATGGGAGGAGTTGTCGTACAGGATGTGCGGCTATCGGTAGGACTGAGATAAACTCAAAATGAGCTGTAAAAACCTTCCAAATGTTGAAAGTAATGTGTTTGTAAATATAATGGGTCGTAGTAGCATTCAGTGAATGGTGGTATAGATTGTATTCATAGCCATAGAGCGATACAACAAAGTTTCTTCTACGATCCCGTCATCGCTAGTTCCCTAGTCATCGAAAAATTACAGCTTATTATCCGCAAATCTTTTAGGTGTTAATGAGCTCTTGTCAGCTAATTAAGAGGAACTTGCAAGAAAAATAGAAAAAACGTTGCGGTGACATTTATTTTACACCTTTATAAAGGATCAGTTAACGTGTAGCCATAATTCTCTATTTCTTTGAACTAAGCTCGTTACCACTGAACCGCAATTCGGTGAACAAGTGCGAATTGCGAAGCCTTCTGCGAGCGAATAGCGATTCAATTGAAAACAAACCGCTCGCAAGAAATGAAACGGCTTCTCTCAGGAAATGAGAAGCCGAACGGAGAGATATTCCGTCGTTGATGCTTTCTTGAATTTCTTCGATGCAGGCTTTTATTTAACTTCGGCGCGAATAGGCACTGTATTGATTGATTGTTAGCTTTGTTACCAAGAGCTTGTTAAAAAATTTTTATTGTGGCTGGTGCTACACTGCCATCTTCTTCATTAGGGCCGTAGTCATTAACTCGAGTGAGCAGTGTCCGCTTGCTGGATTTTTTAAGAAATTTTCTCCGTCGCATCGAGTAGAGTCGAGTGGAGTAGAGCATTTCGCCATTAAATTGAAATCGTCCATCACTTCTATTTTATATGAATAGTCTGCTACTTCAATTTCCTCGATTAGATTCGACAAGACTGCAAAGTTTCAGACACCGGAAAAAGCAAATGCTTGGGAACTCCAGCACTCTAATCGAATCACACTGGCTCTGGAGAAGACGATGTCGTCGAAACGACCAATCACAAGGTTTCTACAATGTAACATTAGCGGGCCTATTAGTTCGTTTGCCTAAAGCCCTGATAGGATCTACTTTTTCATTGTCATCCAAGTCCATAGTCTTTTTTTTGTTTAAGCAGTTCTTGCGAAAAAAGAAACAATTGAGATTAAAGAACTAGTGAACATTTCTTCTTGCGAATTATAACTTCAGTGATGCCATCTGTAGGTTCTCCATAAAATGCTGGGATAGCTGCGTATTAGCCTTTGTATTAATCTACCAAATGAGTGAAGGTACAACCACAATGATGCTGAAATATTTGCGAAACTCAGGGTCACAGGTGTTTGCGGTGAGGAACGAACTCAGTATCACCATTTTCCGGGGATGATGGTGATGATAATGATGGTGTCGAAACACAATTTTTTTGCTTGATTTGGCATCCATAAAACTTTGAATGTAAAAGAAACAACCACTGAGTTGCTTGCTTTCGTTTTTTTCATTTTTAACATTAATGCCATACGTCAGTACGGTTCTAACAGTTTTCGGGGTAAAATCTGTAGATGTTCGCAAATCCATAGACGATTGTGGAATCACGGTATTCTCGTCATCATGTTAATTTACTGCAAAAAATGAGGGTGATCATTCAATCTCTTGTTGCATCGCTAGGCTAACATGAGTTTATTACAAAATCTTTATTTGCCTATCCTTCACCTTTTTCAGAGGAGCGATGATTCGACTCGATTGTTCATGGCCATTTATCCTTTAGTGTGAGACTTCATAGTTGCATAGAGTCTATCTTCTGGAGTGAAGCACTGCTCTCATGCACCAAGCTCAGTCTGGCAGTGCAGTTTTATACAGTATTGATCTTGAGTCTTGTACTGACATGTCTATTAGTAAAAATTTTTGTTCTTAAAAAAAATCCATCCTGTCACATTAGGAACCCGAAAAGGTGTGAGAATACTAGCTATAATAATTATTAAGAATTAAGCATATTAAACTCTGTTTTAATGGCAAGGCAATTGTTTTTGAGAATAACTATATTCCGAGATAGGCAAGAAATTTACTGTTTTCTATTTTATCTGAGTTGACAGGTTCCAATTTTTTCCATGCTGATCTGAGTTAAAATGGGGTGGTATCCTAGCAGATGATATCAGCGTTCTTAAAATCGTTTAGATTACAAAAAGCAGCTCTTGCTAAAAGTAGCTACCTGTTTTCTGAATTTCCCAAAGCGAAAGGTTTTCCGTGTGATGTAGATCCTTTATTTTCCTAACAAATCTGCAATTCAAAATAGGTCTCGGTAATATAACGGTACTTCCACTTTGTACCAGTTCGGCCTCGGTGACAAATGAGCATTTCTGTTCTTCGAGCAACCTCATGAAAGCTTAGAAGTTAGGCCGAATTTCCAGGATATCGGAGAAGAGTAAAACTACATCATGGCGGAGACCAGCCATCAGCCTTGTTTTAACGTTATCGCTAAACATATAAGTGGAAGGAGGAACCAAACGAAAACTGTGATGCACATCGCTTTTCTCGAGGAAATTGGTAAAAGAATAAAAAAATAAAGCACTCGGCGTTAAGCAATCTCTGAGGGATGCCACTTGCACTCGACTTCATTAAGCATCGTTAGAGGTGGTTGAATGCATTTCTGGTTTCTACAATAACTCGCGGTGGCCTCCCGATGTATCGAACCAATGCTGCCATCCTCACATACAAGTCTGCTACTAATTTACCGACCCTGGAGTGATGGAAGGCTTGGTGAGTCCGGGGCGCAGGGGTCGATCCCATGCGCATTGCAGGGCACCACCGACCACAGCGCTACACTCACCTTGAATAAGTTCAATAAATGGTCAGCACGCAAATTATTGTAAGTTGAGGTTTACAAGACTTTTGTAGGCCTCGTAGCAGTCAAAGCGCAACTCAGGACAAACATATGGGTAGGCAGCCACGTTATTGCGTAGTGTGAATATTACGAGTTGAAATTAGCTGGAATTAAGTGACTTCGTTAGGTCTGCCAGCAGAATGACGAAGATGAAGAATTCTCCGAGCCTGCCTCAATTTTAATCTGAGAAACCCAAGTCGTGATTCCCTTCATGTGTTTCTCTTCCGTTAATGACAGCAATGTGTTAGACGATTTGAAATAGGAAATGGTATTTTTGTTATTACACAATCATCGACGATATATCGTTGGCACATGTATAAATTGGTTTACGGCAAAGCATTCAGAGTTCTTCCCATATTAAGTAAGTGTAATTGTTTCAATTCTACTAATAAACATCGCCTAACGTGGATTATGCACAATGCACACCGCGTGAAGCCGGCTGCAACTCTAGACAAGCACATTTCAGATCATGTTGAACTGTTTTAAGCAAAACAAAACCATTAGAATATAGAACTTTTTGCCATAGAAAAACAACTTTTTTATTAGTTCTATTCTTTCACCAGTAAAGTTTTTTTCATGTTTTTCTCATATTAAGGTCCATGTTTCGAACAAACGCGAGTTCTTACGGCAGCATCCGATGATGTAACTCAGTGCGTCGCCTGAAGTTGAATCCGGCGCTCTTAAGTAGAAAATTTTGGCACTTGAACCATCTTTTTGGATTCTTAGGCCTACACAGGT